TTACTGGACATGAGAATATGTAGGTAGGTGTTAGTTCCACACCAGGACAGTTGTTACATGTCCTATAGGTTCTTGTACCATCTGTATGTATTGCCATTCGTTTATGGTGTTTAGTTCTAAGTCTTGTTATGGTTTTTGTCAGTTTTCTCTTAGAATTTATTTCACATATTTGATCTTTTATTATTTTTTGTTTAATTTTTTATTTTGTATTTTGCCAAAGCATCAAATACTGACATTTGTAAACGCTACAATAACAAGATAGGATTTGTGTTTCTACAAACAAAGTCAAATGTCAATATATATCAAAAGATAGAAATTAAACAAAGAATTTTTACATTTACATATTTCCCATTAAGAAAATAACCATGATAATGTGAATTCCCATTTTTATTTGTAAGGGGAGATGAACCAATGTTTTATCTATTATTCATTTACAAAGTCAACACAAAAATTAATTAAAGTCAATTAAACAAAAACACTAATTTACATCAAAAATAATTAGTTGGGGGGCATGTTTATCTTCTTTGTAAATTATGCTCCCACAAGATTTCTATCAATTCTGAACTTTGATATTTTAGGGTTGTTTTGGTTAGATTTAACTGAGTTTTGATATGTTGAACATTGAAAGTCTTTGATATCGTCGATCGTCTGTTTTTTTTTTTTTAAGAAAACAGATGTAATTTTATTCACACTTGTGTACACGAATTTAGTTACAATTTCACTAATGAAACAAGACTTAAATAAATGGAAAGTCTTTGATGTCGTCGGTCGTCTATTGTTCTTTGAAGGAGTCAGAGTCAATTTTGTTCACAATTGGTTATCTAGTGTGTCTTCAGTAAAGGTCACTGTAATATCTTTTAGAGTTATTGTCTGAATCCCGATATACATGCTAAAAGGTACAACTTCTTTAAGTTTTGTCCATGAGTGTATCTTTCAGAGTTATTGTCTGAATCCCGACATTTCCTGGTGGGTGGGTTACAGGAATGGTGACATTCTACAACGACCTTCCAGCCAGGTGACAAATATACTTCCGCATGGCAAGAGAGGGTTACACCTGGGTCCACAGATGGTTGGGGTAGACGACCCCCCCCCCAGTCTTAGATCACCCGGAAGGGTGGTGACATAAAGTATGTTTTGTCAGGGAGGGGGAGGTGGTTAGAGAAAGGGGTGAACCTTTATCATACTTCCTGATGGTCTAAAGCAAAGCTCTGAATCACCTCCCGGTCATGGGAGCCTCTCTCATCCCAGGGAACTTTCATCCTTTAATGCCTCTCTGGAAGCCTTTGTGATACCCTAGAAGTCCATTGTTATACTCACTACCAGCCATCTTAAATTCGCTTTTGAATGCATTAAAGAATTTATACTTTTTGAAGCCCTCCTTTGACTATATCTTTAATTATAATTTTCAATATTAATTTAAAGAATTTATACTTTTTGAAGCTCTCCTCTGACTATATCTTTAATTATAATTTTCAATATTAATTTAAGGAATCTTTGGAAGCCTTTGTGATAACCTAAATGTCTATTGTTATATTCACTACCAGAAAATTTGACCTCGCTGTTGAATGCATTAAAGAATATACTGATTTGAAGTTTTTCTTTGCCTTCTTCTTTTAATGCCTCTCTGGAAGCATTTGTGATAACCCTAGAAGTCCATTGTTATACTCACTACCAGAAATCTTAAACTCGCTGTTGAATGCATTAAAGAATTTAGACTGATTTGAATTTTTTCTTTGCCTTCTTCTTTTAATGCCTCTCTAGAAGCCTTTTTGATACCCTAGAAGTCCATTGTTATACTCACTACCAGCCATCTTAAACTCGCTGTTGAATGCATTAAATAATTTTTACTGATTTGATGCTCTCCTTTGCCTATATCTTCAATTATTATTATTTTTTAATATTAATTTAAGGACTCTCTGGAAGCCTCTGTGATAACCCTAGAAGTCCATTGTTATACTCACTAACAGCAATCTTAAACTCGCTGTTGAATGAATTTAAGAATATATACTGATTTGAATATTTTCTTTGCGTATATCTTTATATATATATGAAAAAGTAATGAAAAATTATAAATAATAAATTAAAAATACGTATTGATATTGCAAATTGTAATATTGCCACGAAATTTACTTTAAGTTAGGAATTTTATAAAATATTTAATTATAATTATTTTGATCTGGCAACACTGCGAAATCAGACGATGCTTTTATTGTGCTTTTTTTACCATGTAAACAAGAACTATTTTATCGTAAATTTTTAAATCAATTGTATATTTTTGGTATATTATACGTTCTTATTAATATTTTAAAAAATATATTATTATTTCAAACACATAATAGCTGCTAATATATATTATTTAATTATTCTTTCTTTACCCCTTTTGAGAATTATGTTTGTACCTTGAGATCTTTCTTTTTTGATTGTTAAGTATGAACAAGAAGCCATCAATTTGTGACAATAAAATTATAAAATTTTTACCACAATTCTATTATTATTCTAAAGCTTTTTTAAATAACAAATTTGATTTTATTCCACCAAAAATAAAAGAAAAATGAAAAAGGTTTTTTTAGAAGGAGGAGTATCGAAATAATTGGGAATAGGACAATATATATTGCAGAAAAAATTCTTCAGCAATAGACTCTGAACAACAATTACATTTGAACAACAATTACATTTGAACAACAATTACATTTGAACAACAATTACATTTAAACAACAATTACATTTGAACAACAATTACATTTAAACAACAATTACATTTAAACAACAATTACATTTGAACAACAATTACATTTAAACAATAACTACATTTAAACAACAATTACATTTAAACGACAATTACATTTGAACAACAATTACATTTAAACAATAATTACATTTAAACAACAATTACATTTGAACAACAATTACATTTGAACAACAATTACATTTAAACAACAATTACATTTAAACAACAATTACAATTGAACAACAATTACATTTAAACAAAAATTACATTTGAACAACAATTACATTTGAACAACAATTACATTTGAAAAAAAATACATTTGAACAACAATTACATTTAAACAACAATTACATTTAAACAACAATTACATTTGAAAAACAATTACATTTGAAAAACAATTACATTTGAACAACAATTACATTTGAACAACAATTACGTTTAAACAACAATTACATTTAAACAACAATTACAATTGAACAACAATTACATTTAAACAAAAATTACATTTAAACAACAATTACCTTTGAACAACAATTACATTTAAACAACAATTACATTTGAACAGCAATTACATTTAAACAACAATTACATTTAAACAACAATCACAATTGAACAACAATCACAATTGAACAACAATTACATTTAAACAAAAATTACATTTGAACAACAATTACATTTGAACAACAATTACATTTGAACAACAATTACATTTAAACACAAATTACATGTGAACAACAATTACATTTGAACAACAATTACATTTGAACAACAATTACATTTAAACAACAATTACATTTGAACAACAATTACATTTGAACAACAATTACACTTGAACAACAATTACATTTGAACAACAATTACATTTAAACAACAATTACATTTGAACAACAATTACACTTGAACAACAATTACATTTAAACAACAATAACATTTAAACAACAATTACATTTAAACAACAATTACATTTAAACAACAATTACCTTTAAACAACAATGATCTTGGGAACAACAATTACATTTGAATAACAATAATCTTTAAGCAACAATTAACTTTAAACTACAATTACATTCGAACAACAATTACATTTAAACAACAATTACATTTAAACAACAATTACATTTGAACAACAATTACATTTAAACAACAATTACATTTGAACAACAATTACATTTAAACAACAATTACATTTAAACAACAATTATATTTAAACAACAATTACATTTAAACAACAATTACATTTAAACAACAATAACATTTGCACAACAATTACATTTAAACAACAATTACCTTTAAACAACAATGATTTTGGGAACAACAATTACATTTGAACAACAATAATCTTTAAGCAACAATTAACTTTAAACTACAATTACATTCGAACAACAATTACATTTAAACAACAATTGCATTTAAACAACAATTACATTTGAACAACAATTACATTTGAACAACAATAACATTTGCACAACAATTACATTTAAACAACAATCACATTTGAACAACAATTACATTTAAACAACAATTACATTTAAACAACAATTACATTTGAACAACAATTGCATTTAAACAACAATAACATTTGCACAACAATTACATTTGAACAACAATAACATTTGCACAACAATTACATTTAAACAACAATTACATTTGAACAACAATTACATTTAAACAACAATTACATTTAAACAACAATTATATTTAAACAACAATTACATTTAAACAACAATTACATTTAAACAACAATAACATTTGCACAACAATTACATTTGGACAACAATAATCTTTAAGCAACAATAAACTTTAAACTACAATTACATCTGAACGACAATTACCTTCAAACAATTACATTTAAACAACATTAACCTTTTCAGCAAATATTTGCAAAGATCCTGATCATTTCAAGGCAGAAAGATAATCATAAATATATTTACAGAAATGATTAAATCTTTGACAATTCTCTCTGGTGTTTACAAATCCATATAGATCTTCAACATTATTTACTGTCTGTTGTTTAAATAACGCTCCAAAATATAAGAAATGAAATGCTTCAACAGGAATTGAAGGTTTTCCTGTTCCTTATGTACTTTAAAGAAAATACAATATAATGCGGCTTATGATTGTAGGAATACGTTTAACAAGTTTTACTGTAAATGTTTCTCTTGAACGAAAAATCGTTTTTATTTTAAGGAGAAATAACGACTATTTCTATCCTTAGGGATGAAGTATGAATGGATGAATTGTGAAGAGTAATGATAAACGGAAAAATAAAAGTGTCCAGGGATGGGAATCGAACCCACAGTGTTCCGCTTACCAGGCCGATGCCATGTCCACTAGGCTACCCTGGATATTTTTCTGTTTTTGAATATTATATAAAGTTAATTTATAATACAATATAATGCGGCTTATGATTGTATGTAGAATGACGTTTAACAAGTTTTAACGCAAATGTTTCTTTTGAACGAAAAATCGTAATTTATTTTAAGGAGAAATAACAATTATTTCTATCCTTAGGGATGAAGTATGAATGGATGAATTGTGAAGAGTAATGATGAACGGAAAAATAAAAGTGGACATGGCATTTGCCTGGTAAGCGGAGCACTGTGGATTCGATTCCCATCCCTGGACACTTTTATTTTCCATTCATCATTAATCTTCACAATTCATCCTTTCATACTTTATCCCTAAGGATAGAAATAGTCGTTATTTCTCCTAAAAATAAATTACGTTTTATCGTTTTGTAAAAAAAACTTTGAGGATAATTTTTTAATTTGATATAACCCGTGGTTTGATTTTTTCCCCTGTTATATCTCGAGCTTTCAGGTTAACCTACCTTTAAACACGGAGATACCAGAAGTACACATTCTAGCCACAATTATAACACAGTTATAGATGTAATCTAAAGAGACAATGGTCGACTCTCCCGTCAAAATAGACATCAAAACGATACGCCATCTATTGACCGTCGCCGCAAACTAGCGGCCTCGGGTCGGTGACAAAGCCACAACACCACCTTGGCAAACTGAAAAGTGTCCACCTAGTTTGATTAACACAGTTGATATATTATGAAAAAGGCATCTCCTTATCGTGCAACTGAAAGTTGCTGATGGCTTCCCCATTTATCGGAATAAATATCAACTATTCTCTTTGATTTTTAATTATTCCAGAATTGGCCAGATACCCATTCTTGATTAATCAAGAAAAGCTAACCACGTACGCGTTTCGGGCTGTTGGCCCTCATCAGCATGGTGCAAGCTGTACCTCAACGACCAAAAAAAAACTGGTTCTTTAGACATCCTGAAAAATCATGAAACGGGTAGTTAAGGCCAGAATTGTGTGAAATATTTAAATAATTAAAAATCATTTCGAATAATTAAAAATCAACGAGAATAGTTGATATTTATTCCGATAGATGGCGCAAGCCATCAGAAACTATCAGTTGCACGATAAGGAGATGCCTTTTTCATAATATATGCACCTTATCCCAGTACAATATCACATTTGTACTATTTTTTCACAGTTGTTATAACTCGATTCCCGACAGTCATGAACCGGGATTGAATCCCGCGTTAAAATTTGTTTAATATGTGAATAACCTTCCCATATTATTCATTGTTTCAATTATCATGAACTAGGTTGCTCTTGCTGAGCGATACCTATTGATGTGATTTTGAACCAGGTGTTATAATTGACTAGAAGTTGTACTTCAGAATCTCCCTGTTGAAGGGCGTGTTAGCCTGGAATCTCGAGAATTCAAAGAAATATGAAACAAAACCTTTGTTTCCTTATTCTGTCAAAATATAAAAACAGAGAAGGATTTTCAAGATTTTTCATCTTTATTAATGTTATTTGTGATTTATTATCGGAAAAAAATGTTGAACTCGAGCGAAAAGTGTTTTTTGTCTTCTGATCCCAGGATTTAGAACACATGGTAACTCCGCCTTTACCGGTCCCAAGCCCGGATGAAAAAGAAGGAGGGGGAGCAGTAACAAGCTCACTAAAAAACCTCGGTTCAGCTGGCCATGCTGATAGTACCCTGTAAGGTTTCCAGGGATACATGATGTACTCCAGGTTAGGAGTGGCTGTACATGGTGTCTGTTCCTCATGTCAGACATTACATATTGGAGCTAAGTCAGTGGCCTGCTACTGAGTCCCAGTCTTAATGACATTCTACTTCACCCAGCCATGCTGATAGTACCCTGTAAGGACTCCAGGGATACAGGATGTACTCCATGTTAGGAGTGGCTGTACATGGTGTCTGTTCCTCATGTCAGACATTACATATTGGAGCTAAGTCAGTGGCCTGCTACTAAGTAGTGCTCCCAGTCTTAATGACATTCTACTTCACCCAGTCATGCTGATAGTACCCTGTAAGGACTCCAGGGATACAGGATGTACTCCAGGTTAGGAGTGGCTGTACATGGTGTCTGTTCCTCATGTCAGACATTACATATTGGAGCTAAGTCAGTGGCCTGCTACTGAGTCCCAGTCTTAATGACATTCTACTTCACCCAGCCATGCTGATAGTACCCTGTAAGGTCTCCAGGGATACAGGATGTACTCCATGTTAGGAGTGGTTGTACATGGTGTCTGTTCCTCATGTCAGACATTACATATTGGAGCTAAGTCAGTGGCCTGCTACTGAGTAGTATTCCTAGTCTTAATGACATTCTACTTCACCCAGCCATGCTGATAGTACCCTGTAAGGACTCCAGGGATACAGGATGTACTCCATGTTAGGAGTGGCTGTACATGGTGTCTGTTCCTCATGTCAGACATTACATATTGGAGCTAAGTCAGTGGCCTGCTACTGAGTCCCAGTCTTAATGAGATTCTAATTCACCCAGCCATGCTGATAGTACCCTGTAAGGACTCCAGGGATACAGGATGTACTCCAGGTTAGGAGTGGCTGTACATGGTGTCTGATCCTCATGTCAGACATTACATATTGGAGCTAAGTCAGTGGCCTGCTACTGAGTCCCAGTCTTAATGACATTCTACTTCACCCAGCCATGCTGATAGTACCCTGTAAGGACTCCAGGGATATAGGATGTACTCCATGTTAGGAGTGGCTGTACATGGTGTCTGTTCCTCATGTCAGACATTACATATTGGAGCTAAGTCAGTGGCCTGCTACTGAGTCCCAGTCTTAATGAGATTCTAATTCACCCAGCCATGCTGATAGTACCCTGTAAGGACTCCAGGGATACAGGATGTACTCCATGTTAGGAGCGGCTGTACATGGTGTCTGTTCTTAATGTCAGACATTACATATTGGAGCTAAGTCAGTGGCCTGCTACTGAGTCCCAGTCTTAATGACATTCTACTTCACCCAGCCATGCTGATAGTACCCTGTAAGGACTCCAGGGATACAGGATGTACTCCATGTTAGGAGTGGCTGTACATGGTGTCTGTTCCTCATGTCAGACATTACATATTGGAGCTAAGTCAGTGGCCTGCTACTGAGTCCCAGTCTTAATGACATTCTACTTCACCCAGCCATGCTAATAGTACCCTGTAAGGACTCCAGGGATACAGGATGTACTCCATGTTAGGAATGGCTGTACATGGTGTCTGTTCCTCATGTCAGACATTACATATTGGAGCTAGGTCAGTGGCCTGCTACTGAGTCCCAGTCTTAATGACATTCTACTTCACCCAGCCATGCTGATAATACCCTGTAAGGACTCCAGGGATACAGAATGTACTCCATGTTAGGAGCGGCTGTACATGGTGTCTGTTCCTCATGTCAGACATTACATATTGGAGCTAAGTCAGTGGCCTGCTACTGAGTCCCAGTCTTAATGACATTCTACTTCACCCAGCCATGCTGATAATACCCTGTAAGGACTCCAGGGATACAGAATGTACTCCATGTTAGGAGCGGCTGTACATGGTGTCTGTTCCTCATGTCAGACATTACATATTGGAGCTAAGTCAGTGGCCTGTTAATGAGTCCCAGTCTTAATGACATTCTACTTCACCCAGCCATGCTGATAGTACCCTGTAAGGACTCCAGGGATACAGGATGTACTCCATGTTAGGAGCGGCTGTACATGGTGTCTGTTCCTCATGTCAGACATTACATATTGGAGCTAAGTCAGTGGCCTGTTAATGAGTCCCAGTCTTAATGACATTCTACTTCACCCAGCCATGCTGATAGTACCCTGTAAGGACTCCAGGGATACAGGATGTACTCCATGTTAGGAGCGGCTGTACATGGTGTCTGTTCCTCATGTCAGACATTACATATTGGAGCTAAGTCAGTGGCCTGCTAATGAGTCCCAGTGTTAATGACAAAGATAGACACATTCTACTTCACACAGTGTAAAGATAAGAAAGAAGAAGAAAAAAATAGAACACAAGGTTGTCGACCTCATTAAGCTTGGGAACTGAAATGCTAGAAGCTGAAATAAACTTTCTTTTTATGATTTCTTTTACGATCTTTTGGGGGTAGAGGATATTTCTGGTCTGCACATGTGTTCTCTAACTCACGGCACTTCTTTGTCAGCGTCAATACATTACCAAACGATTCAACTTCGCTAACATTTAATCTTTTCTTCCTTTTTCTTATCTACACTCAATCACACTAAGATATCAAGCTTGTAAAGCTTGAGACTTTTGATGCTGTCTGCCGGGAAAGAGTAGAGCGCATCAATGGATGAGTCAATACAGTTAATAATGTGTTTTGGGGTCGCAGGTTTACACTTAGTACATAGTGGGAAAACCTTGTAACTATTCTGTAAAGTCATTGTCCGTAGATGACCAGACTTAAGTCTGGAAATCAGTTGTTCTCTTGGGAGGACAGAATTGTCCCTCCTGCTCTGTACCAGTCATGTGAAGCATTAGATTTCCATTCCTGCAGGCATTGGGATTTGATGGTACGGAGGTCTAGTTGGGTGGTAGATTCCCTGGTTTCAGGTAGGCCAAGAGACTTTGCCAGAGAGTTTAACATTTTATGAAAAAATAGAACAAAAGTGGAATTAAACTGTGATCAGGTTAATAAATTAGGTGAAATTAATCTTCTATTTTTTCCATTGCAGTAAAGACAGTAGAAATTGTTTAATATTTCAAAAAGAATCATACACGTCTAAAATAGTTTCGAATTTACATAACAGATGGCGTGCTAATGTATCATAATATAATTGTTCGAATTAAAAACTCAATTTGATATTTGCGGAAGAGCGATTGCTCAAAGCATTTTATATATTTATAATTTGAAACTATTATAGACGCGTAAGATTCTTTTTTTAAATATTAAACAATTTCTACTGCCCTTAATACAATGGAAAAATTAATGTGAGGGCCTGGCTCATCAGTGGTGAACCCTCCCAGCGGTTTCGCCAGT